AAACCATGGGGCTTCCATAGAGGCATCCCACCATAGCAAAACTCCTGAAGGATCGATCGAGGTTGGAGCCTTACATGGAGAGTTGAGTTGGTTTTTCAGTCCAWCTTCCGCACCAATGGGTGCAATGGAGCRACGACTTTAAGTCTGTAGAATTGAATGCAAGTTGAGAGATTCTAAAGTCGGATACKAATTATTGAAATCCTGCCTGGCTAAAATAACGTACGAATTGTATTTCGGATTGTGTGTAAATAATATGTTTGCTGTTGACCAAAATACGGTTGTCGACAAGGCCAATCGATTGTGWTCGCCGATCCCTTCTTCCCCTTCGAACGAACGGTCAGAAATCATGTGAGAAGTGACTTYATTCGATTGTCCCATGGAGTTCCCATCCGATGTGTTTGCAAGTGATAGGGTGGGGTTTTTGGTCTTCTCGGGATTCTTGTCCCTTTTCTGGTATGCAGAAGCAAGAGCCATAGCAAGGCAAGGCCGTATTTCGTCCCTTTTGTCCGAAGGAACGACACGGCTATTCGTTCCGTTCACTCCTACAACTTTTTGTTCGCGAAGAGCGCTGTTATCCTCCAAAGTGGCCGAAAGCAATGGATTAGGTCCGGCGCATTCCTAAGACGTTTCCATTTCATCGACCAAGACACAGCTGTTGATGTAGTCGATCTTAGGGAATTCTTTTCGCATGTCTTCGTCCATTCCCCGGTTGTGGAGCTTTCCCTGGCTCGGACCGTCCTCCCCGTATCCCGTATAGAGTTTCGAGAGAGTGACAAAGCTTTCTTTCCCCACCAGTTCTCCCCACGGAACCTCCCAGGGGGATCCCCCCGCCAGCGGCCCGTTGGCCTCCAGCGACATTATCAGCTGGTTGCCCCGGGTATTCTTGCCGCCACCCGCGTACGCCAGGTAGCCCTTGGCGAAGCGCATTACGCCGTCTTTGTTCTCTCGAAAGTTGGGGCCCTCCGGCAGCCAGTTGGGATCGTCCTGGATGGAGCCGCCGAATTTCTTGCTCACCTCCGGATCGCTGTTGAGGCCAAACTGGCACAAGAATCCCTTGAGGCACCGCATCATGGGGACCGTGCTGTCGAAGTACCCGCTCGTGACCATCTCTAGAAAGAGCTTCGCTCCGAGGGGCGCCCACCTGTGGTGGGCCACCATGGCCAGGTTGCCCTTGGTGGTTTCGCAGCAGACCAGGCTGAGCTTCCCGCCCTTGGGCGGCGTGATCATGTGCCGCTTCCCGGCCACCGGGTGGAGTTCTTCCTGCGTGAGGTTTTTCAGGCCGATGCTGTACCCGCAGCTGTTGGGGACGACCCCCGCAACGTCGGCGATCAGCTTGCTGCGGTCCTTCCACTGGTTCTCGTCGAAAATGGCGCTGGTCATGGAGGGCCGCTTCGGCTTGTTCGCCCGCTCGGCCCGCAGCTTCGACTCGGTGTCGCGTTTCGCCGGATCGCTCGCTTGGCGCGCCTTGTCTCCGGGAGCGTCCAGGGACACCCGGTTCGGGTCGTCCTTCCTCGCGTGCTGGAGACCGGTGGCGACGAGYTCCGGGGACCGGAGGACCATCCCCTCGATGAACAGCATCTGCCAAACTACAAAGGCCAGTGTGACCAAGAGAAGGCCTGCCAGGACCGCCATGGCGAGGCTGGATTTTTTGTGGCGGTTCTGGTTGCCGCCAAACACGCCGGCTGTAGTCATCGTTTTTTTGGGGTCAAGCAGCCGAAGCAATGGGATGCGATGGGGATGTGGGGTGCGATGGGATGGGATGGGATGSGATGCGATGCGATGCGGTCCTCGAGGTACCGACATGATCACTTCGAGTTACGACATAATCATGTGGGTACTAGTACTCGTACTCTAGACTTCTTCAAAGAAGATACGGTAAGGGACGTACGGTACGGTACGGTACGTCGTAACTTCGCCCTACTGGAACGAGAAACGAAAAACGTTCAACGCACCGAAAAAACCTTTGGTAGATATGGAGTATGTGTCGTATGGGTACGTACGTACCGGTACGGGCACCACGACGGTCGAATGAAGGCATCTCCAAATCTAGAGCAGGCTGCCGCCTGGTGTGGTCCAGGTCTTCTGGTGGACCTGCTGGTTCCTACGGTTCTAACTCAGCATCCARCTCTATCTATCGAGTGCAGCAGATACGAAACGAGCGAGAGAAGTTGGCTTGATTCGATACTTTGATCGCATCATATCACGAACCAACCGCAAGGAGCAAACAAGCGCAAAATAAAATCCTATTACCGTAATAGGGTAGTACAGATCTACTACTAGTGTTACTGYGCACAACTATGGAGAACGGTAGAGACACAAATCCGGTCCGGTCCGGTCCGGTCCATCCCGATCCTTGGATTGCCCCGGAGTTGCTTGGAACTCTCCTTCCACACCTCTCCCGGGGTCGAATCCGGCCGTGCTTTCCGTCGAAGCACGGCAACAAGTGTTGCGTAGCAAGCACTGTCGCTGCGTGCACCAAATACKTTTTCAATGTTGTTGCAATTCCTGTATTGCAAAAGTCTTCCAAAGAAACGCGTCGTGTCTTGTTTGCGAGTTGCTGGTTGCATTCGTGTTGCATTGCTCCTCGCGGGCTTACTCGCCTCCGTTCTCGTTCTCGTTCTCG